ATAAATTACCCCAGAATGACATGAAAGTGGCAAAGAAGACAGTGGCAGGATTATCGAAAAGATATTCGAGTTTAGCAAAAGTACAAGTTTCTGTTAGTTTCCAATAGTCGCAAGTTTCATCACATAGAGGACACGTAATAAGATCATCAGATTTGCAAATATCTTGGCTGAAAAGTAAACGAATTCATTTCAATCATTTTTAATTTTAAAATTGTGATAAAATTCATTTTCTTATCTATCCTCATTTTTAAATTGATTAAAAATAATTCGCAGAAAATTAAAGTTTGTAAAATACTCAAAATTGATAATTCTTTTTTTAAACAATTACCTCAAAGTGTTGTAATTTAGAGTGATCCACCCGTAAAAAAAAAAACAAATAAGTCCAACAATACTGGCAGGTATTAGCATGTGAGTATAAAATCCTAACCAAGCAAAATAAAGAGCATATTTAACACCAAAATAATCTTTGATATATACACTTATTTTTTTAAACATTCCGATTGTCTCGATCGATCTATCGTTCGTTTGTTTAAGGTACGATTTGGAAATAACGGTCAAAATAAATTCGGACACGTGGAACAGCATGGAATCGAAAATAAAATTAATCGTCGACGACAGCATGAAAAATTACACGTTGAAACTCGATGGAAACGATCAAATATGGTTCAGAGGGATTTTAAATAATCCTGAAACGATTGGAACGGAAAATTTGTCCATCGTCGTTGACGAAATCGGTTGCATAAATTACTCTAATAAAAATATAAAAACGATAAAAAAATTTTTTAGAGGAAGAGAGAAATATGTCAGTCATTCAATTCGTTTTTGTTTTCTAGGTTTCGAATTGATGACGACGAAATGGGGTAGCGTGTGTTTTAGTTTTACAAAAATAACAAATACATCACACTCATAGGACGGTTAAAACAACAGAATATTGGAGATGCCCGAAAAATTTAATGGGGGAAAAAAGAAAAAAAAAAAAAAAAAAACAGGAAAAATTCATTATGATATGCACGTGAATAAATTCACACGTGACTTTACACGAGATGAGTAAAAAGAAGATGAAGAAAAAAACCACACGGAAAAGGCACCGACACCAAAGGTAAAAAATTAATGGTAATCCTTTTTCAGGTTCGAAAATTTCTTTTTTGTTTTCCAAACCGGTTGCACCTCGTGTCTT